TTTCCCTCCCTCCCTCCCTCTCCCTCTGTCTCTCCCTCTCTCTCTCCTTCCCTCTCCCTCCCTCCTCCATGCTTTTTCCTCCATTTTCTTGTCCACAGATTCTTCTCTGCAAATGCTTCTGTTTTCATCCTGTTGGAAAGACTATCAATTCTATGAGCCTTGAAGATGATTCTTTCACCAAGAAGAATGAAATTCTCATTTGGGGCTTTCCATTATTTTAGTTTTAGGGGTTTTTTTGTGTGATAAGGCACAGACACATTTCTTCTAGAGTGTCAGTAAAGTATTCTTTAAGGGTAATAACCTCCTTAAACATTATTCCAGTGAGTATTTTACTTAGGCAAACTCTAGGAAGTAGGTACTATTATTAGTCTCATTTTACAGGTGAGGAAACTGAAGTGCAAATAGGATACAATAACTTACCAGTGGCCAAATAAAGTGTGGAGCCAGGATTTGAACCCAGGGAGTCTGGCTCTGGGGTCCACACTTAGCTGTCTGACAGTGCCATCTCTAGATTTGAAGGCATGACAGAGAGTTAGAAGATCTGGGGTGGAGATATGTGAATTGTGTGTGTGTTCTGGGATAGCTCCCTGATCTTTTAGACTCTTTCCACAGGTATACATCACGAGTTATAATGTTGTCTTCCTCACAGAACAGTTTTAAAGGTCACATTATATTATGGGCAAAAGGCTTTGTAGAACAGACATGCTGGATGGATATAACACCAGCTACTGTTATCTTTATGCCAGTGGTGACCAAGAGCATTGCATCATGTTGCAACTCATGACCTAAACACCTTCTTCTTTTCTGTACTCGCAAAACTGATAAACTTGACTGTATGAGTGTGGTGGGCTGCACCTATCCACATAGGATGTCCTAGTGAAAGCATGTTTGTTGTGTCTGTGCCTGTGGTCTTGATGCTGGTGTGGTAGTTTGTGCCACTTCTAAGGGGTGAATCTGACGCTCCTGTCTCCTGGTGGAGATCTCATTGACCATCCTATGAGGGTGTGGTGAGGTGTTTTCGTGGGAAGGTAGAGGATTTAACTCTCACCTGAGAAGAGACTCGTAAAAAGTAGCCAGTCAGAAAGACCCTCACCTCAGTGGCATTGCTGCAGAGAGAAAAAAAACAGGAGGAAAAACACATCTTGGCCCATGGGTTGTATACTAAAAATACGACTGTGACTATGGCTTTCTACCAAACTATTTTCTTGAGACTTGTCATTGAAAAATGAGCAAGAAATTATAAGTTAAATAATCCGCAATTGTATCTGACCAATTTAGTATTTCATGTTGTACTGGAAACATCATATATGACAAAGCAAACCATTTATATACAGCTGTTCTTTGGAAGGGGGCGGGGGAAGAGAGCATTCAAAAAGCAGGGCCACCCAGTAGGAGAGTAGTCACCTGTGACTTTGACTATGTGTGTTAGAAAGCTCACCTAGTGAGAACCTGGATTAAGAACTTCAAGAGGTGTTGTCACTGTCAGTTAGAAAACTGGATCGTTTAAAACAACAGACCTTGGAGGGACAAGTGGATGGGCCCATCCATGAGTCCTTGCTTAGGTCTGATGATGGGTAAGATTATGTACTAATGCCTTGTTACAAATGGGACTTTCTGACTTGTCTTTTTACCCATTTTTTTTTTTTTTTTTTTCAAACGTGACATAGACACTTCCATAGAGGTAAAAACAACTTGTAAGGAGACATTTCCACTCTCTTCCAATGTTAACTGGGAGACACTAAATTTAACATAAACATAACTTATGTTTTTCTACTTATATTGTGGAGCTTTTAAACAAATGTATCATCACAATGTTTTTCAGGCTGCCCGGAACTGTCTAGTCAATGAGGTGGGAGTTGTGAAAGTGTCTGATTTTGGAATGGCCAGGTATGTCTGAGTATATGTGGTGGTAGGTGATGCTCACCTGATTTTATAGAGTTAGCCAGTGTGGGAGTAATCTACACTGAGGAAATGGAGAGGAAATCTTGTTACCTATTCTTGTTACCTTGTTACTTATTCAACAATGTATCTCTATTGTGCTGTTAATAATTATCTCCACTAGGTGGCGGTTCAGCCCGTTAAATGCACTTTTCTCTTGCTCCCTGATGTGGATTAGATTTCTAGAACCTTTGATTTTCACGAAAACATGTTTGCTAGTCAAGTTCTTAGTATATTTATAGCTGCACTATTTTATTCTCTTAATTTTTATAATTATCATAGAGTATGAGAACATACTTTTATTTACTTATTTATTTATTTGCATCAGGGTCTCACTCTGTCCCCCAGGCTGGAGTGCAGTGGCATGATCATGGCTCACCACAGCCTTGACAAGCTATCTTCTTGCCTCAGCCTCCCCAGTAGCTGGGACTACAAGTGTGTGCCACCATGCCCAGCCAATTGTTTTATTTTTATTTTTAATTTTTTTGTTGAGACGAGATCTCACTATGTTGCCCAGGCTGGTCTTGAACTCCTAGGCTCAAGCGATCTTCCCATTTCAGCCTCCCAAAGTGCTGGGATTATAGGCGAGAGCCACTATGCCTGGCCTAAAACACTCTTTACACACTGAGATCAGAGTCCCCTGACCAACAGTAGTTTGATCTGGCCCATGGTGGCCTTGTCTGCCAGCCAGCAGTTGGCTTTGTGTGCATCACCAACTTTGTCTACACTGCAAAGGACGCTTGTGAGGTTATCTGAGCTTTTAGACATAAACTCTGTATGCATATGTGACGTCCCTGGTAAACTATATTCTTTCTCTACTTGGTATCGGCCATAAACTTGTCCAGGTGGAAAGACAGTCAGGTTTTATGCAGTGGCCCAGGAGTGGACTAGGGGGCCCCTGTTCTCAGGGCACCCTTGCCTGGCAGTGAGAGGTCGGGACTTTTGAGGTGTGGAGTGTGGGGTGTTCATACAAGCACGAACAGGGTACGGGTCATGAACCCACTTCTCCATACCTCGTGTGGACCCAAGATGGTACTATTTTCCTATGGGGAGGGGCTTTCAGCACTACAATGACATGCTAAAAGCTAGAGGTAGTGGGGGTCCCTGCTCTGGCCTGCCCTTCCTCGGTGTCAGGCAAGGGGTCACTCACCACTTGTGGCATTCTCGCCTGGTAGTCTGGCTTCCTGAAGCTGCTGTGCCCATAAATAAAAAGGCTACAGGAAAACTTGATAGGAGTTTTCCCCAGAAAGAAGAGATTGAGAAACTCTGTGCAGGGTGACTCCATACACGTCACAATGCTCAGGCAAGCAAATGACTGGGCCCTCAGTGCTACAAACGTGGGGAATTCGAAATGGCTGGCTGGGGCCGGGCATGGTGGCTTACATCTGTAATCCCAGCACTTTGGGAGGCCAAGGAGGGAGGATCTCTTGAGCCCAGGAGTGCAAGACCAGCCTGGGCAACATAGTAAGATCTTGTCTCTACAAAAAATAAAAAATTTAGCTCATGCTGGTGTGCACTTGTAGTCCCAGCTACTTGGGAGGCTGAAGTGGGAGGATCACCTGAGCCTAGGAGGCCGAGGCTGTGGTGAGCCCTGATTGTGCCACTGCACTCCAGCCTGGGTGACAGAGCAAGACCTTGACCCAAAATTAAGTAAGTAAATATATAAATAAATAAATAAAATTAGAGATGGCTGTCTAGACCATCCCCATGACAATAATACAGAAATACATTCCTTTTGCAAATATTTACTGAATACATTGCAGAACTGGCCAATGTGCTTAAATCTACCTCCCCCAAAGGCAGCCACTGTGACCAGTTTCTGTGTCCTTCCAGAAGAACACAAGCATGTTCATATAGAATAGTTACATAGTACTGTTGAGAGAGTGTGTGTGGGGGGGTGGAATGGTATGTAAATGAACAGGCCACCATTTGCACACATGCCATTTTGCTTTTTTTTTTTTTGTCATGTGACTGTTTTCACATGTGACTGTTTTCATATGACTGTTTTCATGTGACTGCTTTAGTTTTAAACTGTGCCTGAGGAATCATAGGGGCTGAAGGCATGCGTGTCTCCAGACGCTTTATACCACTTCCTTCCAAGTGCCTCTGCTTGAGATTCTGACAGATGGGGCCTTTGGGTAACATTCTGTTTAAAGAACGAAACTGCTTCCCAAAAGGTCTTGATTTTGTATCCTATCCCTATTGCCTTATAAAAAAGAAAGAGGGTCAGACATGGCGGCTCACACCTGTAATCCCAGCACTCTGGGAGACTGAAGTGTGATGATCGTTTTGAGTCCAGAAGTTCGGGACCCACCTGGGCAACATAGCAAGACCCCTATCTCTACAAAAAAAAAAAAATTAAAAATTAGTCAGGTGCATGCTTATAGTCCCAGCTACTTGGGAGGCTGAAGTGGGAAGATCCCGGGAGCCCAGGAGGTTGAGGCTTGTGGTGAGCTATGATAGCACCACACACTCCAGCCTGGGTGACAGAGTGAGACCCCCAACTCAAGAAAAGAAAGAAAAACTGAAACCCAATGCTGCAGACGCCAGCGTAGAGAGGTGCCCGTCCAGCACTTTAGTTGAGCTGGGGGGAGGCAGGGACCCCAAGCCTGGCCACCAAGGTTGTGTCTGTGTCACCTGCATACTGTTGGCCTGGAGTCCACTGCGGTTTTGATCATTTGGGGACAATGGAGAAAGGCATGCAGAAGGCCGGTGAGCCTCAGGGTTGTGGCCCTGCGTTTCCTCCCAGGTACGTTCTGGATGACCAGTACACTAGCTCTTCCGGTGCCAAGTTCCCTGTGAAGTGGTGTCCCCCTGAAGTGTTCAACTACAGCCGCTTTAGCAGCAAGTCTGACGTCTGGTCCTTCGGTAAGCCCTCGGCCGTGTCCCCTCCCCTGCCCGGAGTGTGGCCCTACCCGTTGGTGACCCTTGCCTTCCCAGGTGTCCTGATGTGGGAGGTGTTCACCGAGGGCCGGATGCCCTTCGAGAAGTTCACCAACTACGAGGTGGTGACCATGGTCACTCGGGGCCACCGACTCTACCAGCCGAAGCTGGCATCCAGGCCCGTGTACGAGGTGATGCTGCACTGTTGGCAGGAGGTGCGGACCCTCTAGAGTGGGGCGGGCAGGGTCTGATGGCCGGAAGGTGGGCTGCCTGGCCCTCTCCACGGAGGCTCTGATGGGGAGGAGGGATGTGAGAACGCAGAGTTGCCCACTGTGAGGCTCCAGGTGGGACCCACCCCCTTGCCTGAGATGGGGGGGTGGGAGGGAGGGGCAGATGGAGAAGTGGTTCTTCCTCCTTCCCTCCCTCTCTCCCTCTCTCCTTCCCTTCTTTCTTCCCTCCCCTCTCTCCTCCTCCCCTTCATCCCTTCTTCCCTCCTTCCTCCCTCCCTCATTCTCTCCTCCCCTCCTCTCCTCCTCCCCTCCTCCCCTCTTTTCCTCCTTCTCTCCTTCCCCCCTTCCCCACTTCCTTCCCTTCTTCTTTTTTATGAGTCAGGGTCTCACTCTGTCACCCAGGCTGGAGTGCAGTGGCACAGTCATGGCTCAACTCAACCCCAACCTGCTGGGCTCAGGAGATCCTCCCACCTCAGCCTCCTGAGTAGCTGGGACTACAGGAACACACCGCCATGCCTGGCTAATTTCTTGATTTTTGGTAGAGACAAAGTCTTTCTCTGTTGTCCAGGCTGGTCTCGAACTGCTGGACTCCAGTGATTCTCCCACATCTGCCTCCCAGAGTGCTGGCTTGACAGGCATAAGACCCCATGTCTGGCTGCTTTTCTCTGTTCAGTGATCCCTGGTGGAACTGCACCATCACTCTTACCAGAAAGGGTTTCTTTTCCTAACCCACAATGTCCTGAGGTCTTTGGAAGTATTGAAATGTCACCTCTTAGAAGAGATTAGACACCCAAGTGACTTTTGGAAGATAGCCACACTCACTCGCATGTATGCTTGGCACTGTACTTGGTGCTTGAGGTTGGGTTCTCAGAATAACCCTCTGGGATATAGACACTTTTGTGATGGCTACTCTGAGGATGAGCAAGGGAGGTTCACATAGCTGATGCTCGTCCAAGCCCAGGTAGGGACAGAGCAGCCAGGCCCTCGGGACCCCAGAGCCCAGGCCCGCAATGACCTGCTGTGAGTCCTCCTAAGAGCACTGCCGGGACGGGCAGGGACCTTCTGGGCAGGAAGTGGCAGAAGAGCATGAGCAAGGGAAGAAAGTGGTTAGAGATGTGGCGTGTGTGCAGAGGGTGGGGGGGGCTGTCTGAACAGCGAGTCCACGTGAGGGTTTTGTGAGAAATGAAATTGGGGGCGGGGCAGGGGAGGACCCCGCAGATGGGCAGTACTTGATTTCATTGGCAGTAGGGAACCCTGTGAGGATCTTGAGCAGGGGCACTCAGGCAGTGGCCACGCAAGATAGACAAGGGCAGAGACAGGCCCCTGCGGAGATGTCTGTGTGTTTCAGTCCCCAGCAGTGATGCCCCCTGGGGTATGCCAGGCTGGGGTCTGAGCAATGAGCCACACCTCTGGGGTGGGTGCTGAAGCCCCAGCTTCTGTTTGACTTCTGGTTGTAGAAGCCAGAGGGGCGGCCATCTTTTCATGACTTGCTGTGCACGATCGATGAACTGGTGGAGAGTGAGGAGACCTTCGGACGGTGAGGGCAGCGACTCTGGCCCCACAGCATGGGTGGAGGGCCACTGCCGACCTGGATCCACCTGACACCTGGACGTGCACGTGGCTTGGCCTATGAAGTGGAAAAACCCGAGGAACTTGAGCCCGCCCAGCCCAGCCTTCGCACTGTGGCTGAATCTTCCAGATGGCGTAGCCGCTTAGGGATGGGTACTGAAAACACCCATTTCCACCCAAATCTCAGGCACTTGAGGGCTGATCGTGCACCTGTGCCCCAGGGTGTGGCCGCTGAGGGGGTGCACATGGGACCATGTAGCCGCGGGCCAGGGTGCTGGGGAGGGAAAGGGCATTGGAGCCAGGTTCCACTCTTCCTTCCCCTGACTCCTGCAGAAATTGGGGCCTGGGATGTGACCTGGGGTCAGGTTCCAGGGAACCAGGAACCCCCATGGATAAGCCCATCTTGTCTGGGAAACGTCTCTGTTCAAGACTGTTCTTAGTGTTACATCTTGGAATATGTGTATGCTGTATATGTTGTAAATACACATGTAATATATAAAGTTATATATTTATAAGAAACATGAGTTGTCTTTTTGTGAGATGCTTAATCCCGAGGTACATGAGCTCTTTTTTTTTTTTTTTTTGAGTTGGAGTCTTACTCTGTTGCCCCGGCTGGAGTACAGTGGCACATGGATGGCCACTGTAGCCTTGACCTGCTGGGCTCAGGTGATTCTTCTGCTTCAGCCTCCCAAGTAGCTGGAACCACAGGCATGGACCACCACACCTGGCTAATTTTCTGATTAATTGTAGAGATGAGGTCTCACTAAGTTGCCCAGGCTGGTCTTGAACCCATGAGCTCAGACAATCCTCTCACCTTGGCCTCCCAAAGTACTGGGCTTATAGGCATGAGCCACCACACCTGGTCATCTTATCTTTTTTTTTTTTAAGTTGGAGTCTCACTCTGTCACCCAGGCTGGAATGGAGTGCCACACTCATGGCCTGGCTAATTTTTGATTTATTGTAGAGACGAGGTCTCACCAAGTTACCCGGGTAGGTCTTGAACCCACAGGCTCAGGCAATTCACTCACCCTGGCCTCCCAAAGTGCTGGGATTATAGCATCTTTTCTTTTTTTAAGTCAGTCTCATCCTGTCCCCCAGGCTGGAGTGCAGTGGGATGCTCATGGCCACTGAAGTCTTGACCTGCTGGGTTTAGGCTATCCTCCCACCTCAGCCTTCCAAGTGTGTGTGCCACCACGCCTGGTTACTTTTTTGATTTATTGTAGAGATGAAGTCTCTCTTGAACCACTGGGCTCAGGCAGTCCTCTGGCCTCTGCCTCCCAAAGTGCTGGGATGATGGGCGTGAGCTGCTACTCCCAACTAGCTCACCTTCTTAGGACAGGAGACTGTGTCTCTCAGCTGTTGGGTCCTTTTCTGCTGGGGACTGAGTATACCTTGCTGAAGGGAAGACAGTGATAATGTCCCCTTCACCCAGGCAGACATCTTGGGGACATCTGTGCTGCTTAAGCTGCCACAACAGGGCCCATGTATGGGTTCTGATGCTGCCCATGGTGTCTATGGCTATCTGCTCTAAGGTGGAGAACCAAGTCTTCCCTAAGTTGTAGAAATCTACACGGGGTGTGGATGCTGTGATTGGATCTGTGCTGGGTTCTGGAGCACAAGGGTCAGGTGATATCCACAACAAGTCTGTCCCACCTCAGGCAGGACCTAGGAGTACTTCAAGTCATGGAAGAGTGTCCAGAAAGTCACCAGGTGAGATGGAGGGCACAGTGGGGTGTTCCGAGCTGCCACCTGGATGTTTTCCAGGCTGTCTGGTGAATGTGGGTCCCCTGGGTCTGGCTGCCTCCTGCCTCACGATAGCCCTGCTGTGTGTATGTGCGAGTGGGTCTCGGTCTCATCAACTCTGACCAAGATGCCCACCAAGGGGGTGCCGGTTCCTTCCTTCATGAGCCCTGGGGAAAACGAACCACCTCAATCCCCAGTAGCAGAGACCGGGTGTCACCTGACATATATGCCTGGCATTTGTGAATGCAGGAAGTGGGGCAGACATTGGCCTTCTTAGGGGCCATCCCGTTGGGACAGCCGGGCCTCTCCTGTGCAGCAAGGGGTAAACGCAGGCCGGGGCAGACTGCGCTGAGCAGTACATGCCCTCCAGCCCTGGGGGAGTGTCTCCCCTTGTCCTGGTCCTGCTGGGCCTATGACCATGCAGTCCACCCACGGCCGGCAGTGTTCATTTCTTCTTGTGCTCCTTATCATGGAAAAAAGTAAACTATCCTAAGTCCTATCTCAGTCTCCACATTCCATCCATCTTCCTGTTTAACTTGAACTGCTCTTCCACCACAAAAACATACACACCTTTTGCTGGATGTGGTGGTTCATGCCTATAATCCCAGGTCTCTGGGAGGTTGAGGTGGGAGGATCGCATGAGTTCAGGAATTTGAGACCAGCCTGGGCAACATAGCGAGACTCCATCTCTACAAAAAATACAAAACTTAGCCTGGGCTTGGCCCCAGCTACTTGGGAGGCTGCGGCAGGAAGATCATCTGAGCCCAGGAGGTCAAGATTGTGGTGAGCCATGATCATGCCACTGCACTCCAACCTGGGCAACAGAGTGAGACCCCAATTCAAAATAAAACAAAACAAAAACAAAAACATACACACCTTTTCACTTCCTCGTAGCTCTTTCCAGGAGTCAGTCATATGCCAACTCTACCTTTCTGTCACTGTCATATACTTGTCCTTACCTTCTGACCTCCCCTTCCTCCCTCCTCCTGCCCTCTGCCTACCTTTCCCTTCTAAGGAGTGACGGTGGTATTGGAGAGACTGGGAAGAAGGCAGAGTCCCTGCCCTAATGGTCACATATACCTTTTTTCTTTTTTTGGAGTCAGGGTCTCACTCTGTCACCCAGGCTGGAAGGCAGTGGTATGATCATAGCTCACTGCAGCGTCAACCTCCTGGACTCAGGCGATCCTCCTGTCTCAGTCTCCTGAGTAGCTGGGACTATAGGCATGTGCCCACCCCACCACCTGGCTGATTTTTAAAAAAATTTTTGTAGAGACAAGGTCTCACTATGTTGCCCAGGCTGGTCTTGAACCTCTGGACTCAAGCAATCCTCCCCCCTTGGCCTCCCAAAGTGCTGGGACTACAGGCATGCCTGGCCCATGTATACTCTTGATGAGAAACAAGACAGAGAACACATGGCAGCATTTGGGCACATTGCTTTCAAAAATTTTTAAAGTATTTTCCTCTTAAACTTAAGAAAATTTTTGCTCGTGATGCATGGCTAAGGCAAAAAGTGAAGTAAGAAGTCCCACCCCAGTGCTGCTGAGATCTTGCTCTAAACAGGAAATGGGGCGGGCAGCATCGGTGTGCTGCATCTTCGTTAAAGCTCTTCCCGTAAGTAGTTAATTTTGGGTTCTATTTTCCAGTGGGATGGAGCAAAACCCCCAAGTGCATTTTGTGCAATTGATGTTGTCTTTGTGTTTCTCGGCCATGCCTAGTCACCTCGTAGGTGTTATCATTACTGGCCCTCTCCCAAACAAGGCCCCTGAAGTGTCAGTGCTGAGTGGGGGGATGGAACATTCTAGACCACCTTCCAGAGCCCAGAATCTAATTCTGTTTCTATCACCCAACGTGTGGCCCTGGGCAAGTCCCTTATTCTCTCAGTGCCTCCGTTTCCTTCCCTGTCCAGAGAGGACCATTTGACTTGGGGATTTTTAAGGTCTCCTTTGCCAAAATGCTGTGATTTCCTGAAACCGTCTGCAAGTCACCCACACGTCTGGGAATGAGAACAGCAGACATCCTGGGAGATTTGGATGCCAATGGTGAAGCTTTTTTACATGGGCCACTGGCTGTCATTCACACACAGCTCTGAGGTTTCTAGAACAGGAAGGTAGGTGGGGTTAATTCTGCCCGTGAGAAACGTCTTGGGTGAGCTATGAGCTATGAGCTCAGCTACAGGACGTGTTTTGTGAGGGGGCACCCAGAAGAATCAGAGACCGTGCTGTTTGCTTCCTGAGAGGGCGGCCATGACTCTCCTCTTGTGAGTAAGGTGGGTCTTCCATTTATCTCCTGGGCTTGTTCTGGCTTATGTCTTGTTCTCGAACACCAGAGGATGTTTTGTCTAAGTAAGGCACGCATTTGTGAAAACATGAAGATAACTTCCCTAGATGTTGTGACCGGGCTTTGTTTCTTATTTAAATAACCACTATGGTGATGTAATTCTATTATAGTAAATGTTCAGCATTGAGAACATGAGTTAAGTTCTCACAAATGGGCATTGAGAAAGCAATACCGTGCCCTCAGATCTACATACAGGTTTACAGAAATGCTATCCGTGTTTTTTTGTTTTTATGTTTTTTGAGTCAGAGTCTCACTCTGTTGCCCAGGCTGGAGGACAGTGGCATGACCACAGCTACTGCAGACTCGACCAGCTGGGATCAGGCAATCCTGCCTCAGCCTTCCAAATAGCTGGAACCACAGGGATGCACCACCACACCCAGCTAATTTTTACATTTTTTTGAGAGATGAGGTCTTGCCAAGTTGCCCAGGCTGCTCTCAAACCCCTGGGCTCAGGCAACCCTCTTGCCTTGCCCTCCCCAAATGCTGAGATGACAGGCATGAGCCACCACACCTGGCCCGTGTGCTTGTTTTGAGAATGATGTTTCATGTAATAAACTCAAGATGAAGTTCTCATTCTGGCCCTGCTCTGGCTGTGGTAGGTTACACCTGACAACTGGTTTTGGTCCAGTCCCTTCTCTATGATGGGGACTACCTTCCTGTCCAACTTTTAACAAGATATCATAAAGAAACAGCAGGTCAGCATAGGAGGTGCTTTGTGAACTTGATCTTAGAGTTGCTTTGGAAGACTCTTCAGCCCCATGTGTAGTCCTGGAAATACTTGTTAATTTCGCTCTAATACTCAGAGGGCCTTATGGAGTTGATAAAAAAAATAAGAGAGAGAGAGACAGAGAAATACCTTCTTTGATTTTCACCAAGGATGACTGGAGCCAAACTCCAATAAGGCTTGGTCCTATCAGATTCAAGTCATCCACGGCCAGCTGACAAAGGTGGGTTTTTGCATTTCTGACTTTAAGGTGGCATTAGGAGACATTCATACTAATGTTTACATGTCATTCTGCTTAAACCAAATCACCTCATAGGACCCAACAATTGTTGGTAAAATTTGTAAAAAAAAAAAATATATATATATACACTGTTGTGCTGACCTGAATGTAACTCACAGTCTTAATTCACTCAGGTGAAAACAACGGTGCCTGTTCACAAAAATATAGGCAGAGTGCGGCAAGGCAGAAAAACTAAAAACCTACAACCTGTGTCCCCGCCAACCCAGCGACAGGACAGGGCTGAGCAGTGACTCAACAAAAGTCTTTAAATATTAAAAGCTGGGGAAAATTTGTTCTTTATTTTCCCGAGGCAGAACTAGAGAAAAGGCTGTAACATATACAAGGAAGGATATGGTTATACATAAAATAAATAATTATGAGGGTTGAGACGAGAGTTAGATTGTCCAAAGGATTGAATGAGACTGTCCTATTGGC